AAGCCTAATTGGTGGGTTGCGATGTAATCTAATTGACTGCGATTATAGAGTTATTTAAAATTACATCAGATAAATAATACGAAATACATATTTCATTACAAAAATCCAACACGAAATAAAATTGAAACCGTCTAAATTACGGGAAGCGATTAAGTTTGCTTTATAAATTAACTTTACAATACATCTTTTAGCGAAAAATAGATAATTGTAGACAAATTAGATTTGCTTATTCAAAAGCAATTTTAATCCATTTAACCTACAAAATTGTTCAAAATATTGGACGAGTGAATAATATATAATATATTATATATTATAAAATATTATATAAAATATGATATAAAAATATTATGTATTATTTATATTAATATATTAAAATATTATATACTAAATATATAATAAAATAAAAATATAATAAAATGAAATATAATTAAATATCAATAAAATAACTAAAGTATTATAAAATATAATAAAATATATAATATATTAAAATATTGTATAAAATATATATATATATATATATATATATATATATATATATATATATATAAAATATTTACCAAATAAAAATGGGTAAAATATGAAATTAAAAACACTTACTATTTATTGATGTGTGGGGGCAACAACTTAGCTGTTTATATGCTAGATTGTATTCGGTGTGATTTATGTTCATTGTTTATTAAGGAGTTGGATGATTATTTACGGGTGTTGTACTTTGCATATACGCACAGCTTATAGTGATTAAATAACTTTAAGTGAGTTCATATAGTCTCCACTCCACAGTTTTCTAATATGAAAATTTTCTTTTTCATCTCATTCTTCGTATACGCCACTACAGATAGATGTATACATACCCAAACAGTTAGATAGGCAGATACATATATACATACATATGTACATACATATAGACATACACGCATTGGTTGATAGATAGATAGATAGATAGATAGATAGATAGATAGATAGAAGAAGAAGAAGAAATCGATATATAGACAGAGACAGACACATAGATAGACAGAAAGACGGATAGATAGATAGATAGATAGATAGATAGATAGATAGATAGATAGATACATACATACATACATACATACATACATACTGTTGTGGATTCCGAGAAGAAATCCCGTCTCAAATGAATGACAAACGCAGGAATGAAATATAACAAATAAATACATTGAATATAATAATAGAATTGGCAATAGTTTTAATATATATATATATATATATATATATATATATATATATATATATATATATATATATATATAGTCTGGGAAATTCAGTATCAATAGGACTTCCTTCGAGTCTACGTGCTCGCAACTGTGATTCCTACAAAGCGGTTACCTCACTCTCACTCTATCACTCTATCAGTGTATCTCTCGTATAACTTCTGCGTATTCACTGGCAGCAGTACAAGTACACACTGGTCGAGTCCACTTGTATGAAAAAGGGGTGGACCCCATAACATATACATACACGCATTAGTTGATAGATAGATAGATAGATAGATAGATAGATAGATAGATGAATGAATAAGAGAGACAGAAACATAGGTAGATAGACAGAAAGACAGATAAATTGACAGATAGATAAAAGAATAGATAGATTGATATATATATATATATATATATATATATATATATATATACAGAGAGATAGATAGATAGATAGATAGATAGATAGATAGACAGATAAATTGACAGACAGACAGAGAGATAGATAGATAGATAGATAGATAGATAGATAGATAGATAGATAGATAGATAGATATTATATAAACGCTGATAAATTCCAGTAAAATAGATAAATATTCATGCATTTTCTAAGTGTTCCAGTATCATGAAATAAATATTTTATAAGGAAAATTTTCGGCAAATAATCCAAATATCCATTAAGTTTACTTACTTGTAAAATCTGGTACGCCCCCCCCTCATCTGTGTTGAGCTAAGATTTAGCCACTTCACAACACCTTCCATTTTACGACCTTAACTGTAACAAAACCGCGAAGTCGTGTCGCTATTTTATAACTGGACATCTCTTTGATCCAAGGACGCCATCATAAATACTCGATTCCGTTTGCTTCATTTACTTCCGGTCTGCTTTCTCGTTTCCTTAGTCTATAGTGATCAAAGCCTTCCGCGGACGATTTTCGTACTGCATCTAAACCTGCAGAAAAAAAAAAGGAAAAAAATAATTTTACAATGTTTTTCCGAGAGTAAACATTGGCTTCCCTTCCAAAGATCGATATGCCTCAACCCATGATTCAGATAGAGACAATGGATAAAGGCAATATTATTTATCCATATCTACATATGATCTAGACTTCACGCAGTCAACTGAAAATGCCCATGGCAGATCATTAAATACTGCAAACATCAGGGAGTGTCTGGAACATACACCGAAATTGTATCTGATGACATCTAGATTCACTTCACTTCGTTTACACGAGAATATTTAGGTTCATGAAAGAGCAATGGCAAAGATATGGTGTATATAACATTTGTTACTTTCCCGTTATAATATCAGTTCTTGCTGAGTGCATCACCAATCATAGTTGGAGAGGGTGTATTATTTTAAATATATTTTCTTTAAGTTTTTTTAAGCTTCCAATATAAGAGAATTAAAAAAAAAATGTTGTTTCGTAATCTTAACATCCCTGCTGGTTGGATTCTTAATGCAATGTATAATCTCCCCAACAAAAAAAAGTCTTCCTGTTTACAGTACCTATATATACCTTTTTGATTCTCCTGCAAAAGGCCGTATGCCAACCTTTTTGAATTTCGTGCAAGCAGGACCTATGACTAAATATGTTGTTTATTTTTATACAAAAAAAGGACACATGCCTAACTTTTTGAATCTCGTTTAAACTGGAAAATGTCTATCTTCTTTACTCAGGTAAAAACCGTATCTATCTATCTTTTGAACTCTCGCGCAAAACGGACATGTGTCAAAGTTTTCACATTCATACGAACCAAAACATCCGTATATCTCTTTTTTTTTTTTTTTACTCTCCAGTAAACTTGGACTGTTTTAACTATCGTACAAACTGGACTATTTCCAATATATTGACTCTCGTGTAAAATGAACCTTTGTGCAATATTTTGACTATCGAGCGAACTGGACCTATATACAATGTTTTGACTCTCATGTAATGTGGACCTATACCCAGTGTTTTGACTCTCATATAAACTGAACCTTTGTTCAATGTTTTGACTCTCGTACAAACCGGATCTATGTCGAACATTTTAACTCTTTTGCAAACGTACATTTTTCAAGCTTTTTACTCTCGTATAAGTCGGGCCTGTGTCTACTTTTTTATACTCGTGTATACGTACCTATGTGTAACTTTTTGTGTTATTCTCCAAATCGTTCTGTATAACCAAACAAAAAATTTGAGACTATCATGGAAGTTATAATCAGATCAGTTGGAGGCTGTTGAGTGAATTATTCTCTTTATCTGGGAGAAATTTGGCCAGTATTAATTGTCATATAGAAAGATTCATATTACATACACGTTTAGGACATTTTGTTTTTAATGAAATTTTCCTGTTTCCTTATACATTATTTAACTTTTGGAAGGCATCTTTCACTATTCCAATGGCCCCCGACCTAAATAAATAAGTTTTTTTTATGCGAATTTCTTATATGAACGACTATCCGATATTAATTTCTGTTTACTATTGAATTTCCAATTTTTGTTGTTTTTATGGAAGGTCTATAAAATCAGTAAGCGTAAACAGTAAGAATAACTATTAAAAAATTAAAGGATTATTCGAATTGACAAAAGTTTATCTCTAATGTTAAAGTAAATTTTCCTTTACAATAAAATCACTAAATTAAAATTTTATATTTAGTGACCTTTTGCAAATACCTTCGGGTTTCAAAAAGAAGAATAAGTATATATTTTAAAAGACCAGCGACATCCTTATTTTAAACACACCTTTAGCATGAGACGCTTTCTTCTAGATTGTCCTCAGCCTAAATTAAGGGATAGTAGGAAGGAATTTTCCTAAATTTTTAGTTGAAGGATTGGTTAGAATAAGGATATTTCGGGGATAATATTCTCCAAAAAAGGAATAATATCCATAGCCCTTTAAGTGAAGTACAATGGTAATCAAAAGAAGAAAAGAAAAAAAAATCATTTTTCTTTTCGGCACTAAATTTATTTTCCATACCTGAAAAAATACGTTTTAATTTACCCAGAACTTTTTTATTTATTTTTAGACTGATTTTTTTTTATCTTCAGTCGTTTTGCTAATTACCTTGACGTAGGAAGCTATATACTTCAGCGGATGTCTGATTTACAGTGGCCTAAGAAAAGTTTTTAGTTAGGAGAAATAAACTCCATCCAATTTCAAAATTTAATTACGTAATCCCGACGCAACATAAACAAACAGAATTTGGAACTAGTATGGAGTAGGTCCTCCATTTGCAAGATTCAATTTTATTCAATTTTTCATGGATTTGATCAAGTTATCAACAATCGTCTGACCTAATTTTTGCCAACCTTTGGCAATGTTTCTTTAAGTGTTGCCGCTGACGTGATTTTGGTTGCACGCTCTTTGGTCAAGGTGCTCCCAAACATGCTCTATGATTTGATTCCTTGCGATTCCTACCAGGCCTTTGTACTTTGATCGTATGACATGGAGCTCCATCCTTTTGAAAAAGATAGACATTCTTGTCAATCTGGTTAGTTCCAAATAGTGGGAGTCGTCCTTTCTCTAATATTTGATAGTATTTTGAACCATTCAATATCTCGTCAACAAGAATCAGCTCAGATTTGCCTCCAAACCAGACAGCGTCCTACACCATTACTCAATCTCTTCACGGTCGCCAGCAGATATTCAGTGTTCCAAGTCTTATTCTGATTTCGCGAAACATAAATCGAATTCGAATATTGGCAGAATTTACTTACATCTGCCCCCATTACAAACTGCCAAAATTCATAAACTTTGCTACCAATTTCTCTCGATCAGTCCATACGAAGTTTCCTGTTAACCTCTGAAATCAAGGGCTTCTTTCTTGCAATTCTTCTTTGATAGCCTAACTCTTTCAGAATCTTTCTCACCGGACATGTTGACATTTTTCATGCTGTTGGCGACATTTTTGACATTCTGACGACGGTCTCTGATGTCTTCCATATTCAGCGCCCTTTTCGTTCGCTCAGACACAATGCTTGGTCCACATGACAATGGCCTTCTTCATTAAATTTTTTTTGACAATATTATTAACCCTTTGATGATTAACCTGGAAAAACCTAGCAATTTCTGTATTAGACTTGCCACACTGATGCCATCCTATTATTTGCCCTTGTTGAACTTCACTAATTTCCTTAATTCCACGAACTTCCATTGCAAGATATAAGTCAACTATTGTTCATAGATGAGAGTAGCTTGATACTAACACGGTGTTGTCTGAAAAAAAATGAGACGTTATTAAACAAGCCAAAATTGCTGTAGATAAGGGTGACTAAAAACATATCATAGCCGACTGTATTTAGATACTTTGCTGTATAACTGGATATCAAAACCTAATGAACAGTAAAAGGAAAAGTAATAATATATCTGCGTTGAAATCAGCATTCTATATTCTTATTTTTATTTCTTCTTGCATTACAATATCAACCACGATACGGTCGAGCTGATTTCATGACGTTTTATGTTCATTACTCATTAGGAGGTTTCAAAATATATAATGTACAATAAATGTCTCCTTATTGTCAATTGATTTCCAACTTGTTTGAATAAAAAGAAACAGAGGTATATGGGAAAAGAATCAAAGCCATTACACGTAAGGATATGCAAAGTTCTTCGTCAAGTTAAAATATGTTCGAATATAGTATAAAAAGAAATACATCTCAGGGCCAGGGTCGGGTTAAGAAGAGTCTGCTCAAATTTGATGTATTAAGACTTGATTTCACTAACTCCCACACAATGTTAGCACCATAATTAAATATGTGGACTAAGAGTGGAGATCATACGAACATAAAGAAAATGTCGCGTTAGAATAAATTTCCTTTTGTTTTTTTAATGACCTTTCTTTATCCTTTTGGTCATACACTCTTGTCATTGGCAGGATTATCCCTTGATAAAATCGGATTAGCTTGCTGCTCATTGATAAATCAGAATTAAAGATTAAAAATACAATGGTGACAGATATAGGGATTAATTATTCAACATGGCGAATAGTTCTTTTTTCTGCCGTTTTGTTGTTGCTCGTCTTCGTCGTCTTTTTCTTCTTCTTTTTCGTTTTCTTCTTCTTCTTCTTCTTCTTTTTCGTTTTCTTCTTCTTCTTCTTCTTCTTCTTCTTCTTCTTCTTCTTATTATTATTATTATTATTATTATTTATAGTAGTAATAATAGTAGCAGAAGTTGTATTATTAATAGTGGTAGTGGTAGTAATTCATTTGATTTCTGTTATATACTCATTTCTTGCTTGGTCCCAAGCAATGAACTAAGAGCAGAAATAGCATCATGGCATTTTTCCCACTTATTTTTGTAAAACAGAAACAACAATCGTGTACCGATTTTACATATATAAAGCCTTTCTTTGTGTGTGAACTGTGTCTGTAAGAATGATTTTTGTATTCTTTCAGAACATGGCCAGAATCACGATCACATTACATTAGTCTACTAAAGCCTTTTCCAATCAAACCCTGTTGCCCAATCAAAAAAGGTGCATTTATATTTATTATTATTATTATTATTATTATTATTATTATTATTATTGTTGTTGTTGTTATTATTATATTTCGATTTCTGCTATGGTCACACTAACGATCAAGTCTGCGATAAGACCTAAATCAGGTAGTGGTGTGTTGTTATGGCTAAACTTCATGATTTGTTTTTCTAAATCCCATAACATCATTAGCATTACATGAACTTCTTAGTGTCCGGGCTGTACTTTTCAAGACAACTTTTTGTATTTCTTTGAAGATGAGATTATCTGCGATCACTACCATCTTAACTTCATCATGTATGTGTCAAACATTTTCTATCCTACAATTCCTCATAATCTGCACATACGCCACTTACGAATACATCACTCAATAGCACTGTACTTTGTGAAGTTCTTAAGGTTTGCATTGGATTTATTTTCACTCTTTTCAACCCAAGCAAGGCAATAAAGCTACTAAGACACAAGGGGCTACTGAGGAAATAGATAAAAATATATATACTATTAAGGGGAGAGAACAATAAAAGAACAAGAATTAAAAAGTCAGAATACAATTTATTGACAGTTGATGAAATCCAGGTAATTGTTCGTAAGAAAATTAATCCAGTTTTATCCGATGCCTGAAAATTTCTCCCTATATCCAGAGAAGGCGTCCGCTGTTGACCCTGTCTACAAGATTTGCGAGGATAGCGATTACCCCATCTCAAATCGTAAAAATCTGCAAGACTCAGGTCAATAATTACCTGTTCTACACATCCTAATGAGATACACTTATTACCCTATTTACGTCAATCGAATAAGATCTGTTAAACTTGAGTGGCTCAG